TAAGTAACTCTACCTTGTGTTATAGACTTTTTTATTTTTCATATTTGGTCACTTTACAATGTAGGTACAATTCAAAACCTTAAGCTTCCTATTATTCTTATGTTAAACATGAATTTGGGAAAGAAAGCTTTTTTTTGTTCTTTTTTATTTTGAATTCAACAATGTTCAACTTTAAGTCCAAATGTAGTTTATTTTCTTGATATTTATAGTTTTAAACTTGCAGATATTCAAATGCATCAGTTGTCTCCCTTCATATCAGAAAAATATGGAATTCTGACTAGTCAGTAACAAAATGTAATTCAATTGATTTTCTGATTTTATAGGAAGTTAATGCTTATAATAATTTTCCAAGAAAAATAGTTAGTATGTAAACATTATATGATAATGTATATTATATACTGTACATATCAATAGCTATGAACGGATGGGTCACATGAGATTCATGTGTTGTTGAACATGCATTGACCTGATGATCAAGATAAGTGAGAGTCCTGCATAGTCAGGATATATATAGTCTGGTAACCTGTTACATGATACATATTGAGACTGAACATTTGTGGAATTTTAGGAGTGGTCATGTATAGTTTGTAGTCTTTGGTGGGCAGAGGGGAGTCTACATACTACTGTATAGTAGATTTTGGTGGATAGACATACTGGGTATATATATATAGCTAAGACTATTGTGTAGTACAGCTTCTTGGGTACTAACCATACTGTTGAGCTGACTTATTTTCAAGAAATTAAACTTTGTGAATCAAACTTGTTAAGGTTTTTTTAAATAACTATGAGTGAAAATAGTAGAACACATTCCATTGTATTGAGGCATTGTAACTATGTGTGACATGCTGGAATGTCCGGGGGCTACTGTTTACTACTGACGGTATGTGTGGAACTCAAAGTAAAACCAGACTGAATGCTGTGTACTTTGGTGTAAACAAAAAACCTAGGGCACTATTCATTATCATTGTAGTTCAATAAATCAAAATTTGCCTTTAACTTTGATATGTCATTGTTGTAAATAGCATTTCAAAATTAATACAACAGTCTTATACTTAAGTTTTCGTTTTCTTCTTTTGGCATCTTATGGCCTTTTTCTAAAACTATCTGGAAGGAAAAAATTAAGGTTTACACATTTACATGTAGATTCAGAATATCAGTATATCGTGTTGGGGTGAGAAATCGTGCTGGGGTGAGAACTTGTATCGGGGTGAGAAGTCGTGACGTAACGAGCTCAAGTAGTTTGTATTTTCTATGTATGATGACGTCGATTCAAAGATTGGAATAGTTCATTGTGAAATTTCAGGGGTGAATGAGTTAATTTATGTACCATTATGTAGCTAATATGATAGTGACACTTTGCTTGTAATATCTCCTGATTGTGTGATATATGTATTACTTATAGGGTGCTGATTTATGTTTTTCAAATGAAATTTTACTTGGTTGAAGTGAATATGTTTTGATTACAAAAAAATATCTTTGACCCCAAAGATAAGAAGAAAAAATAAAGTAAATGACACGATGTTGTTCTGATATGGATGTGGATATCATGATCAACATATAACATAAAGCACATTGTTATAGAAGACTAATTACATGTAATTATCATCAATCTGATTATCATCAATCTAATAACATGATAGTCACTATGGCCTTTAAATGGTAAGTGCATGCTAACCTGCAGCGTGTAACACACGACAGTGTGATGGGAACTGGATACACCCAGCTCCTGTTCCTGGATATTACCGTTATATCAGTAATAAGCCCAACCCTTTTTTTGCTTACTGCTGTCAGTATAATGTGAGTGGGTGGAATACTTTCTTGTGTGCCTTTAGCATATTTCATTGAGACAGTTGGACTCTGAAAGTTGGCTTCAGATCTGTGCTAGCACAAGGACGCAAATACACCAATATACCGCCTTCAGCTTGCACGCATAAAACCAAACTAATTTGTCTCTTTGTAGATTCAATTAATTTTTGACTACTTGAGCACTTTAAGTACTACATCAGTTAAAACTTTCACACATCTTACCTTTGTACGTGTGTCCCCCATGTTGTTCCCGTTGATATTAAGAGAGTTATGGCCCCTGATTTGCTTAACCTATTAAAGCCTTATCCACTCTACCACTCCTAGAGTAAAGGATGGATTTCAACAAAATCTTGAGAAAATTCTTGCATACAAAATGGAGCTGTCCTTGTGTGTATGTATACATCATTGTTAAGTTATTTGAAATCCTTGATTATAAATATAAATCTTCATGTAATTATCTTGCATATGAAAATTGTAAAATATGGTATATCAATGCCTGCAGGTAATTATAAATGTATCATTCATCCCCTCACTACAGTATACAGGCACTTGGGTCATATAATTGGTAAAAATATTGTATATTTGTGCCTGCTTGTATATGCACCTTTCATCTCCAATTTGCATGTCCCCTGGTCTTATAACTGTTAAAAAACGGTGTATATAATATGCCTGTTTGTGTCATTCATCCTGTTTCTACAATACTAGTCTAGGCTCTCGATGATATAACTAGAAAAATACTTTAAGTCTGGCTCCGACATCATTCATTCTCTCTCTACATTGCAGACTTACTGGTCTTATTACAGGGCAAATAAGGTACAGAACTTGTCTGCCTGTTAGTATCTCGACATCTCCATCTGACCAGACAATCCTTATCTGAACTAATATCAAGTTAAGAAGTGCATAGATAGACTCATGATATGCTACTTAAGTTAAACCATCGTATATTTCCGTTTTACAGCCTCACTACCAACTGCAAACGTTATGAAAACATAACATTACAGAACTATTAATTACATGTATGTGAATGCATTAATTCCTGATCAGAAACTGTTAGGGTCAAGCTATATCTGTCAGATACTATTAAAGAAATCAGGGATCACGCTGATTTTTCTGAATGGTTTAATTTTCTAATTGATGTTTGTCGCCTCAAAGAAAATGGTAGCCATATATGAACACATGCCTTTTAAAATATCATAATTAGAATTTAACTGACTGAATAGGACACTACCTCAGTCTGATCATCAGAACTGTTGTATGATTAGTGCACGTGTTGTATGTCGGTATAGTGAAATATGTTGCTGTGGTAGGGAAACCAAATTCTTTGAGGTAATTGCTGTGATCCCAAATAATCTGGAGGAAATTGAATGATTCCTGATGACATTAATATATATTTAATAATTCCCAATGACCTTGAGGTATCTGAAATGATTCCTGATGACATTAATATATATTTAATAATTCCCAAAGACCTTGAGGTAACTTGAATGATTCCTGATGACATTAATATATATTTAATAATTCCCAATGACCGTGAGGTATCTGAAATGATTCCTGATGACATTAATATATATGTAATAATTCCCAATGACCTTGAGGAATCTGAAATGATTCCTGATGACATTAATATATATGTAATAATTCCCAATGACCTTGAGGTATCTGAAATGATTCATGATGACATTAATATATATTTAATAATTCCCAATGACCTTGATGTATCTGAAATGATTCCTGATGACATTAATATATATGTAATAATTCCCAATGACCTTGAGGGATCTGAAATGATTCCTGATGACATTAATATATATGTAATAATTCCCAATGACCTTGAGGGATCTGAAATGATTCCTGATGACATTAATATATATGTAATAATTCCCAATGACCTTGAGGAATCTGAAATGATTCCTGATGACATTAATATATATGTAATAATTCCCAATGACCTTGAGGTATCTGAAATGATTCATGATGACATTAATATATATTTAATAATTCCCAATGACCTTGAGGTATCTGAAATGATAACTGATTCTTAAGGGACTTAGCATTAACTAATGATCTCCAATGACCTTGAGAATCCTTTAGTAATTCTTGATAAATGATGTTGATTTAACAATGTCTTAATATTTTTACTTGACCTTGAGATAGCTGATGTTATCCATTATGAATGTGAATTATCTTTAATTATACCCGAGGAATTTAGGAAAACTAATGTCTTGGCATGCATGTTAGGATCTCAATTGACCTTGAGATACCTGTAATAATCTATACAGAACTTGAGATACATGTAGTGTGATGATCTCCATTGACCTTAATGAGATATCTGTAATGATCTCCATTGACCTAGAGATATCAGTAATGGCCTCCATTAACCTTGCGATATCTATAATGATTACCATTGATACCTGTAATGATCTCCATTGACCTTGAGATACCTATAGTGATCTCCGTTGACCTTGAGATACCTGTTATGATCTCCATTGACCTTGAAACACTTTAAGTAAAATATAATAACTTCCCAATATATATTAGACTAATCCTTGTGAATATCCTATTTGTGTATAAGTATTTAGTTCATCTCTGTCTCCATTGACTGGCTAATTGTGTATCCACTGTGTGGGTTTACCAAATAACTGTGAATTTTTAGCATACTCTGATGCAGCAAGGCAGACCACAGTGTGGTGGGTACTGGTAGACCTCTATGTATACCTTGCCTTTATTATTATGTACCAGGTCAACAAGGTAGCAGCCAATTAGCCAGGAATTAGTCAAAACAAGTGCTTGTTACAGCAACAAGTCTTACAGGTCCAATGGTGTGTTGATTAGTGTAACTCTAGCTCCTAATGCTGGGCTAGTATAGTGGTCTATTAAAATCTCTCTGAAAAGTGAGATAAGTTCATACTACACTGTACATTACAATAGTTAAATAACTACATCTACAATTATATGAAATACTGAGTAAAATCATTGTCGCAACAGCCAAAAAAACCCATCACTCTTGGCTTTAAGATTTTACAACTAGACCCACAGATATAATTATATACATTTTCTACATTTACCTTGTAAACTAAGATATGAAGAGAAGACAAAAATAAAATATGGTTGAATGTTTCAGATGTGTTAACCCTGTGTGATAAATATTCAAAATGTCTGATGCCTGATACTGACCTTGACCTTTCTGTTTACAGCAGCATTTGCGGTGGAGCCCCAGAAGGAACGAGTGTTCCGGGAGCGGGAGGGGTTGCCCCTGCGACGTGGGGCCATGCGAAGACGGGTACATCAGGTTCATGGACACAAGTTTATGGCCACACTCTTCAGACAACCCACGTTTTGCTCATTATGTAGAGACTTCATATGGTGAGCAGAAACTCTGTGAATGGCCTTGAATGATCTTCTGAATAACCTTGAATGACCTTCAGCTTGTCTGTAGCATCCTACAGATTGGCTTCTGCAGGATATCTGCAATTTTGTTATGTGTTAAAGTGATTGACCTTCACTTTTCTAACTTGGGAACTGAATGATACCAATATCACACTCAACCTGCTATAATGTATATGGTTTCAGGTTAATGGTAATGTAATCTTAGATGTCTGAATTTTGACCTTGACCATGGTGTGTGTGTGTGTGTAATAACAGTTTTGTGTGACACACTGACCTATATTATCTTGATAATGATGCACAAAAATGTTTTGACGCTTACATTGACCTTGACCGTAGAGTTTAGACTCTTAAATATACACAAAACATAACAAAACATAACAAACCATTTAATAATATTGTTTTTGCACATTAATTAGAACTAATAACAAAATGGTTTGACCCAGAAAAGGATCAGGGATAGTATCATCTACATTAACCCTATCAACCCTAGGTAACTATAGTAGACTCTACCAAACATTGATATGGATGAGTCCATTATGGTCTACAGTGGTGAAAGGGTTAATAGGATATGTACAGTAATTGAATTTTGCTGAATGTATATATATCATAGTACTATCTAACAAGTTAATGACCGTTCACTAACTGGGGATGATGTATATAGGAAGATGGCGAATAGAGATTATGGCACATAAATTATATAACTTGTCAACAACACCTTAAATTTTATCTTGAGTAGAAATAATTTTGTATAACCTCTGTTTCATTGTACTGCACAGAACAGGTTTTGTGTGCATTAATATATACAATCCTTCAACCATAACACATGTTGAATAACACCATATATTTATATGCAGTAACACAGGTAGATTCCGTAGTGTCATACTCTAGAATAAGATGTAGTGGTGCTGGTTGACCAAATTTGAGGTATCTTACACACGTCTGGGCTAACTTGTATGTAGACTTGGAACCCGGCTGGTGTCACAGCCTATAGAAGCTGATGGATAGTTAACGATCAGTTTTGTGTGTACGTACAGGCACCCCCTATAATCAAACCACACACACACACACACACACGCACACATACCTCCCCCTCCTAACATACATGCTTTCCTCGCCATACAAACATATCCAACTCCTTCCTCCCCCTATCCCCCCCTCCACTCTCCACATACCTTCCTATC